CCCTCACAAATTCAAAAAAGACCCATATTAGTCCTTCAAAAGGACTAAAATGAGTCCACTTTAAATTTGTTAGGGACTAACTGACTAATTTATTTTTGTAAGGGATTAAAGTGGGGACCGTGTTTTTTTGTTAGGGATCAAAAATGATATTTACTCTAAATATAATCTCTCCCATTCAAATCTTGATTTTTAATAACGAATTCTAAGCATGATGATCGATTTTTACATCAAATCAAATAAAAAGTTGATTCGAAACGCAACTAATTATAGTTAAGTTTTTTTTAGTGACATGATAATATACAATTAATATGAATTAATCTCTTAAAATAATAATAATTGCGTTCAGGTGCATTATTTTGTTAATATAGATTAGTTTTTGTTTCGTAAGAGCTGATTATTTTTAATTATCTAAAAACATCTCTATCAATCAATATTATTATACAGTTAATTATTCTAATTTGGTCACATTTTAATTGTTCAGGAAATATATATAGGTAATCAGGAAATATTGATATAACCATCAAGTGCCACGGGTTGTTTCAATTTTATCAACAATTTCAAATTCGAATCCTAGATATATAGTTGAGTTAAAAATTTAATAAGAAGATTTTTATCGATTATGTGATTATATCCACTTCATTTGTCGCTCGTGTGATCATATCCACCTCAATGAGATTGGTCATTTAATTGATAAACTGGAGGTGAAATTTAAAAAATAAAAAAGTTGTTGATGTCATTTATCAAAAGCAAATAAAAACAAAGGGCTTTCAATCGGTCATGTAACAGCAAAATGGACTATCTTCCAGCAGACCCATCGATAAGTGTGATGTCTATTTCTTTTCTTTTTTTTTTGAAAAACCAATGGCGGGACCCACTTTTGGTGTTTGTGTGGCATGATGTAGTGATTTTCCTGTAACATTATTTTCATAAATCCCAAAAACAAAACCCCAAACAGTAAATCAACCAACATTATCACTATTTTCAAATTAGTAACTCCACGAATAACCGTAAATAACTCTTTAAATAATTAAATAAAGTTTAAGAATTAAGCACTATAACATGTATTTTCATTTCTTATAAAGACAAAAAAAATATATATATTCACCAACAAAAAAAGACAACAAAAATTGCAGATTAACAAGCCTGTCAATATGCTAATTAACTATAAAACTAATCTTTTAGGGGGAGAAAAGTATCTAATGTTACTTTAGACAAATTTATCTAATGTTTATCGAAACAACGTCGTTTTGAGGTTAAAAAATTATAATGATAAAGATTATTATAACCCTAAAATAAATTAAAATTATAAATATACAATAATTTTTATCCCAAAATAACATCATTTTAATGAATATTAAACAAAATTATCTAAAGTAACTTAAAAAAAAAACGAAGTTATCTATTATTGGAGACAGGATATTGTGACAACCAAATAAAGTTACGACCAATGTTACAACCAATCATCTCACCGTTAGATTGGTAGTAGCGATCCGACGGTCCTCATTGGTCTCTTAAATAGCCCCTCTATATTCGTTTCTCTCACCCCCTTCTCTCTATGTTCCCTTCTCTCTCTCACTATACACTCTGCCACCGCCGCCGCTGCCCATATCCTCTGTCCCGACGGAGGCGCTGGCCTCCGTCGCGCCGCCGCCGCTGCATCCCGCGGAGAGCTTCGCCTAATACACGAGCTAGGGTTCGATTTTTACCAGATTCGATTTTTTGAGCAGATCAATTATCGCGGTTTTGTAAGTCCAATTAATATTTGATTCGAGATTCATCAAAGGCATAATGTCACTGATCAAACTTTTGAGGCTTTGAAGGCACGATTTCCTATATTGATGTCTGCTCATCGATACCCATTACAAACACAGGTGAACCCATAATTTTGATCTGGTCAAAAAATCGAAATAATTGATCTGCTCATTATTCACGATTTCCTGTATTCGTTTTGCAAGTGAGCTAGGGTTCAATTTTTCGAGATTCGATTTCCTTGCCTGTTCAAATTTTGATTTGTAATAATTTTTCATTTTTTTTTAGGTACTGTTTTCCGTGAACCCATAATATGTCGTTGATTGAACAACTCACTTGCATCCTGTGGGTGGTAACCACTGGGAATCAAAACAACGAAGAGATAAAATTTTAATAATACCTTTGATGAATCTCGAATCAAAAAAACGAATATGCTCAAAAAAAATTACGGTGATTGATCTGCTTCGCCCAAAATTTTTTAATAATACCTTTGATGAATCTCGAATCAAATATGGGCAGCTGCGGCGTTGGCAGAGTGTATAGTGAGAAAGAGAAGGGAACATAGAGAGAAGGGGGTGAGAGAAACGAATATAGAGGGGCTATTTAAGAGACCAATGAGGACCGTCGGATCGCTACTACCAATCTAACGGTGAGATGATTGGTCGTAACATTGGTCGTAACTTTATTTGGTTGTCACAATATCTTGTCCCCTTTTATTATAAGCCGACAAAAAATAAGTTATGTTTTTTTTTTTTTTTGATAACAGAAAATAAGTTATGTTAGCTTAGGGTGAGCATGACAACTTTTTCGGAATCAATTCTTTTTTAAATTATGTTCCCTGGAACAGAAATGGATAGGAAACTCGTTTGGTAAAACCGATTTATTTTTTTTGTTCCCGGGATGAACCGGTTTAATTTTTGTGCTGGGGAACAGAAAAAAGAATCAAAAAATTTCTATTTTTTTGTTCCCGGGCACAAAATGAGAAACACTTATCTCTCTTAATCACTCTCCACCTCTACCGTCATCACCACCACCACCATCATCCCGACACGACTGTCGCAACCATCGTCGCCGCCACCATCGTACCACTAGTGTCATCGTCACCACCCCTCACCACCACAATGTCACCGCCACCATTACCACCACCTCCACCATCATGCCACCGTCACAACCACCACTATCACTGTCACCATAACCGTCACCACCACCACCATCATCGCAACCACTGTCGTCACCACCACCACCGCCATCACACGCCACTGCCATCACTACCACCACCACGACATCACCATTACCATTGATAACACATATTTTGTTACACTTATTTATTACTCTTGGTTGGTATTTTTAAGTTTTATTTGAATTAAATAAAGGTCTTTTTGGTCAAATCAGAATTCTAGATTTTAATTGAGTTTAATTGATTTTTGTAATAATTTTCCAAATTTACACTACTTTCGTATTTTGGTCATATCTCACTCTACAGATGTCCGATTAACTCCGTTCTTGTTGCGTTTTGCAGCTAACAAGAAGGGCTACAATTGCTATTTTAGCTACTGAAGCCCAATTCGGACAGAAAGATGGTCGAAACCTGAGCCCAAGATGGACGTGTTTTGCTGAAAATTTATTTTGACGATTGGATAAGTTATAATTTTGAACTCAATGTACATGAGGCCCAGAGCCATTATTTCTGTTTTGTTTCCTTTTATTTTGGGTTGGATTTGTAGAGCCCGAAGCCCAGCTTGATTAGGGGTTAAAAGGGCGAGAGTAGAGACCTTGTGGATGACCTTTTTCGTTTGAATTTGAATTTTACAGTTTTGAAATTAAGAGAATTTTCGTCTTTTCTCTCTCCTCTTTTCTTTAATCAACCCAAGGGTTGAGGATTCCATGGTTGAATCCTGAGGACCTGCGCCTCATTTTGAAGCAAATTTGTTTCTCTTTCCAACTCGGTTTGACATCGCGCGATTGTGGGTGTTTAATCTGAGATATGCGATTGTGTTATTAGAAAAGAGATTAACCATTGGATTTAATGGTTAGGTTGATTAACCCAATGAACTCAAGTCGAACGGGTTGATACTCCGCGATTGCGTGAGTAGACGCGTCGTATTCGACCAAACGCTAAGCGATCGTTTAGAGGGTTCTCAATTGGAAATAAGGATTCTGATTCAATTGAGATCAATCACGATTTGGTAATTATTTGTCCAATGATGGATATCTTTGGAATCCTAATTCTTGGGTTAATTGCTTTTAATTTGATTATTCTTTTTTTTTTTCATTTCCGTTTAAATTTACAATCATATTCAAACCCCCCATTTTAGTTTCCGTTTTTCTTTAATTTTCGTTTTTCCTTATTTTCTCTTTTTATTTAGTTTCCATTTTTATTTGGTTTCCGTTTTCATTTGGTTTCCATTTTTATTTTTATTTTATTTTTTTATAATTGAGCGATTGAGTTCATTACAAACTCCTTGAAAGATGACTTAGGTTGACGTTTTACTACAAAATTTTAATAAACCTGATTTAATTAATTTGCGCGAGTTCAATAGCTCGTGTCAAATTTAATTCCCCCACACTTAACTTTTTGCACTCCTAGGCAAAAACTAAAATAGAAAACAAAGACTAAGATCAACAATCCCTGCTAACAATTACCAAGTATACAAAAAATATACAAAGATCACAAGTCTTCAACAGATTAACCAATCAGGACAGAGATTTCCTAATCTCAAATCACAAGACTTGCTAATTTCAACTGTACATGCCAATTACCGAAAATGGTTCCTTACAGTTTGCTCTCAATATTTTTCTCTCAAGTATATCAGGTAATCAGTGTATCACTCAAATCTACTCATGAAAATCATTCTACCATAGGCTTGCTCAAATTCCACTTCTCCACTGCTACTAACACATGCATGCACAAATCAAGAGGGCTTTATGTATGGTTGTAATGGGGCTGAGATGAAGGTATGGATAAAATATGGAAAAGAAGGTTAAACACCCCAGAAATCTACAAGAGCAAAAGTTAAGAACGACACTAAGAAAATAAAACAAAGATAATGAAAAGATAGAAATAAACATATATATTTGTTTATTTTATTTTTATTTTTTTTGCTTTTTCTCTTTTTATTTTTTGCTTTTTTTTAACTTTTTTTTTTGCTATTTTTTTTTTGAATCAATACAGTAAAACCACATAGCAGAAAAAAATCAGATGATCACATTGCAATACAAATCAAACTCACGGTAACATGTAGCCAACATATTCAAAATTTCAAGCTTTTAAAATGTGACAATGGATAAGAAAAACTGAGAATGAACTCTGACGAAAAATTTAACAGGCCATTTCAAAAATCAAAACAGAGTATAATAGTATTAAACCATAAAGTTGGGTAGGGGAATATGAGAAAATTAAAGCCTCGACCAAAAAAAGTAGTGCGTTCTAGTACACATATCATATATGGTAAAAAGATCAATACTGTAGCCTTGCCAGCACAAGCGCAAGAAAATACTCCAGCAGTGTTTATACAGTGTATCTACCCTTCGATGGTCCTCGAGTTCTAGAATCATCCTGTAACAATTAGATATGTAAGAATCATAGATATTTACACATTGGTCAATCAAAATTTATGAGCAGAAGTTTACATGAAAGTTATATGTTATTTTGTCATTAGAATCCATGATTTCCTTCCACTTCCTTCCTATGCTCATCTGCAAAATAAATTCACAAACAAAAAGGCTCGCATCAAATGTCACGCAATGAGTTTTGGATGACTAAACATGCATAACTTTTGGCAAGGAACGTTGCACTTGGTTAGAATAGCTCCATTAGGTCATTACAACAACTCTGGGACTCAATGATATGCTACATTCACACATTCAAGATGAAACAGTTACCAAATGATATGCTACATTCACAAACTGTAAAAGGCTGTCACCAGAAACAAACATCCTGAAAGTTACATTATCACCACACTACAAAGCATTAAAAAGAGCTATTATCATCAACATGGACATTATCTTTAACCCTTAAAACCTGAATTCGTTCTAACATAAAGTTAATATTCCAAGTATTTGTAACAGCACACACCCAAAAGACTTTTTAACCACCAGTATAACTAAAGCTCGGACTTTTTTAACCATCAACATAAAATAAACATCATAACTAAGAATTTGAATGAAAGGACGTGATATGCCACAGAATTTCATATCTAAACATTAAAAACATAAAATTCATTCTATCTAAATAAAATGTACATAAGAAATGACCCCTTGTGTTGCCATTGTATTAGACTATTAGGGATGTAAATGGGCAATGATTACCATTTTTTGTCCACTCATTATCTTAACTCAGGTGCAGGTATTGGTCAGATAAACCAGGCTTTTTGGCAGGAGCGGCTGGGATGGCCACAATGGCAGCAGAGAAGAGTGTTGATAATTGCATGCGTCTTAGTTCTATAGTATCAATTTTGTGTGTAGTACAAATTTTTTAAAGTTTTTACATTGCATTCGCTATTTTTGTTGTAACGGCCATTCACAATTCGCTACGCTACTATAGCCTTTTTATTTTTTTTGGGGTGAACACTTCAGACTGTATTCTGCAATTAACTATGTTGAGAAAAAACACAGAAACACATGAAAGAATGTTGTAGAGTTGTGCTTATCAACATCATCAGTACTGATGCTTTGCAAAGGAGCTACAATAACAGAATACTTCAATGAAAAAGGAAAGCATAATAATACCTTAAGTCTCGTCTTTAATAAGCAAACAATACATCGTGGATTGAAGTAGTAAGATGTTAGCAATGAAAGTGTAACATGTAATTTAAATATTTGATGTGTTTCAATGAAGAATCTATTATCTCCAATTCACTAGAAACTTGATCCCAAAAAAAGAAACTCCTAAGACAGCAAAAGCATTAAAGCATCATGATAGGACCAAAGTGATTGATAATTTGAAGATAGGAAGCAAAAGTAGCACATCCAATCACAACTTCTACTTGATGTTTCAAGGCTTTCACATGCTTACCAGTATCTAGATATAACAATAGGAAATTATACAGCGCCAAGATAACACAATACAACATAAAATTGCAAGTATAATTCATAAGATAATAACAAACCTGGGCAGCCTCATTTGCTGCTGTCTTAGTCCATAATGAAAGCTTGTCCTGCCACTGGCGCACGCTTGCAACGACACCACATATGTCTTCGGCGTCCTCAAATTGCTCACCAATTAAAGCCATCAGCTGTTCAGTAGGACCACAATTATTCAGAACAATTAAAAGTAACAAATCTTCCCATATTCTTCAAAGACAAAAACAAAACAAATCAGTCATGAAAATTACAGTTTCAAGCCACATGTTATCAAGGTTAGCCTTTCTATTACTGGTGACACTGACAGTCCACTTTCCTCCATTGGCACACTCAGGATCTTCCCATTTTGGCTCAACCCCAGCCTTGAACAAGTGGAAATCTCCATTATTAGGCAACTTGCTTGGCTTGAATATCTGATCATACAAACTACAACAAGATTTCCACATCACAAAGTCATCAAGTTCATTGCAATATTTACCAAAACCTGATTGTCACAATAATAATAAACCACAAAAAAAAAAAAAAAAACCCATGTTCTGAATATGAAAATTTTTGCACACAACAATAACATTAAGACCCTTTAATGGTATCTCTCCTAAGATCCATAAAAAATGATTTTTTTTTTCTATTACTGCCAAGTCTGCCCTCGAATCTCTCGGAATTCAAACAGATGAATCATGAGTTGAGATTGCAAGCTTCAACTCCATTGAACATAATTAAAATACAAAAGGAAAATTGATCAAAAAGAAGGAAGACCCAGAAGAGGAAAACTCACCACCAGAACTCCTCAACGGTTTCGAAGGTGTAAACCTTACGAAGAGAGGTTCCCCAAGCAGCACCTTGCTTCGGTTTCGATTGGTTATCGAACCAGAAGGTCCATTTCCTCTCCAGCTTGTGCTTCAACCCTGTCTCCGGTGCCGGAACCTCAACCGGAACCGGCATCGGCTCTGTCTCCGCCGCAACCCCTTCAACGACTGCTTCGGTTGCCATCTCTCTCTTTCTCTCTCTCTCGCCTCCAACTACGAAGAAGAGAGAAACGGTTGGAGTCAGGTTATGGTTTTGTGGGCTTTGTTTTATGGGTTAGACCTTGCAACTTGCAAGATTTTTGAATGAATTAGTGGGTCATTGGACCCAATACTTCGGCCCAAAATGAAAAATAATAAAAATAAAATAAAACTCATTCAAAATTTTGGTTTTATTTTTATTTTATTTATTTCTATACTTATATCCATTGTGCAAGTGTGTATTAGTGGAGTCATAAACTCTTATGACTAATATTAATATGAGCAAGTGTTGAGAATCTTCATGCTCTGCAAGTGTATAAAATGATAGAGAAAAGTTTTAACAAATAGAATAAATGATGTAGATCATAACACACATTACTCAAGTACTTTACATGCCTCAGCTTATCTCTCAAAAAAAATTAATGTTAATATCATCAATACTTAAACAGATCAATACTTAAACACCCGTAAACTATAAGTTAGAAAGTTCCATTTCCCCAACAAAATAGCATTCTTTTCTAAAATGTATTTTTGCAAAAAAAAACAAAAACAAAAAGATCAAATGCAAAAAAGATCGGATAAAAAAAATTAGCTACAGACCATTGCAACAATAATAGCTATAGACCACATATTACCAACAAAGCAGAGGAACAAAGCTTAAAAGCTTCCACGAAGGTGAAGGACAAGATGAAAGGTCGATTTCTTGTTTATATGATTTTATTTTTTTAATGCATTTAAAAAAAATTCAAGGTCAGAACCCCGTTATTAAATGTGCAAATATATATAAAATTTTCTGGGTCTGTAACTATTCATATCAAAAGATTATTTAACCTACCAACCTCAACGAGCATATAGATATTGCACAATGCACACTATATTTATACATATTATGGTGAGTTCAAGTTTTACAAGAGAAGCTAACTCCATGAGTTGATTGATTCATTCTTAGTAAAACTACTATTCTCTTCAACCGATATACGTAAAAGATTTTCTTATTAACGCATTCTTTTGACATTTTCTTTTCATATTTCATTTGGGACATGATCCGTTTATAAATTTTTTTGCAATTACACTAATGTAAGACCGGTCGTACACTATGTGATTAATGTAGGACCGGTCCTACATAATGTAGTTTGTAAATAAAAAAGTTTGTAAATATAACCTGCCCTATTTCATTTAGTGTTAATTAAAATTCCTTACTAACCCCACTATTGCAGAGTGAACCCAGATTATTTAATAGGACTTACATGAAATTTAATCAAATTATAGTGTCAAAGGATGTGTTATGAGCTTCCATTTGTAAAATAAACACTTATTTCTGTTCTTCAGAAATATACATCACAGGCAGGGGCCAGAAAGAATTCGTTTTTTTCTTTGGTTAATGGCAGGGGAGAAGCTGATGACTAATGTTTGTAGACTCCGCCGCCATATGGCTCTTTCAGATCTGTGTCCTAGATGTAATCAGTCTAGTGAAACTATCCTTCATACTATTCGCGACTGTCCACAATCAAAGGAAGTATGGTGCATGATAATGCCTCATATAAATCAGCGTGAATTTTTCAACCTCAACCTGCACAATTGGATCATTTCTAATTTAGACAGCTCAAAGGATTGGGGGATGGGGTCGTACTGGCCTCTTTTATTTGGAATCTTAGCCTGGAAAATTTGGAAATGTAGGAATTCTTGGGTTTTTGAAGGTGATCGCCAGAATGCTTATTCACTTATCCGTTCAGCAATTGGTTTCAGAGATAGTGTCGCTCTTGCAGCTAACCCTGTTTTTGGAGCGGACAATCAACCAAGGAATCGAATAGAGAGATTGGTTGCTTGGTGTTGTCCTCCTGTGGATTGGGTTAAGCTTAATGTTGATGGTGCATGTGATGCTAATGGTACTAGGACTGGGTGTGGAGGAGTTTTTCGCGATGCCTCAGGAACTTGGATCGTCGGATTCTGTAAAAATTTAGGCTCAGGTACAGTTTTGCATGCTGAGTTATGGGCTTGCTTGGTTGGTTTGGAGCTAGCTTGGGATAGAGGTTTTAGGCAAGTTTGGCTCGAAGGAGATTCTCTTTCAACTCAACAGCTCATTACAAATGGGTGCCACCATGATTACCCTGCGGCTAATTTGGTGAATCGTATTCGAAATTTGATGCAGCGAGATTGGCAGATTTATATGTCTCACATTCACCGTGAAGGAAATAGAGTAGCGGACTTTCTAGCCTCTTACTCTTATGGTTTCTCTTGGGTAATTCAGGAATTTGATTGTCCACCGTCAGGTTGTATTGATAGTCTGTATGGAGACACTATAGGTGTTCACTGGTCTAGGCTTTGTGCCTAGTTTCTTTTTGTTGTGTTTTTGTTTTAATTTCCTATTATTTCCAAAAAAAAAAAAATATACATCACATCGCATCAATCTTTCATTTATCAAGGAAAAAAGTTAATCATTAAATGATAATTAATGCTATTAAGTTTGTTATCAGAGGATCAAATATCATTTTAAGAATCAATTTTTGACGACGCATAAAAAAAGTTGATCTTATCTTTTTCAAAGACCGCATGTGAACTGTGGTACAAAACATCAATTTCATACCGAAGCACACCAAGAAAAAAAGAACAAGAAAGCAGAACTAGGTGGCTTTTTTTTAGCTTAAAATTTATTCATTACACAAGTATCTTTTGTAAAATCAAAATGAGGGAGAAATAACGCAATTACAATGAATGATACATTAGGCAACATAGTACATTGGATTTGGGAGTTTAAATGCTCTTTTGGGGCTTGGACTCCCCTCAATGCTGCTGTATTGGTTCCCAACAATGCCCCAAATGCGATATCCATCATTCATTAATTGTTTTCTCACATCAGCCTTATACTTTTCCACTGATACCAATTCATCAGCAGGATCTCTACACACAAAAGAAAAAGAAAAAATAAGTAATCAGAAAATGAGAACAGGTGAAGAGTAAAAGAACTTACTTGTGAGAGATAAAGAGAGAAAGGGTTAAAGTGTACTGACCTGAAGAAAATTCTAGTCCATCCATAATAACCAACCTTGACAAGATTGTCAATTGTGGCTGATCTGAGATGCTCCTTTCTTGCAGTGACCAAAAAGATTTGAACACCTCTAGACTTAAGTTCATTGAAGAGCTTCAATGAGTGATCAAGAGCAGTTGCTTTACCTTTTCTCATCCATTCCTCTAAAGATGTCACATTTAATTTCTTTCCCCTATTGTCAATAAAAGTCCATCATCATTCAGAATGATTACTATTAAGCACAAGGAGATCAAGGTAAGAACCATTTTAGCTAGTAAGCAGTTTGAACTCAATAGTAACCAATCCACCAATAACCATCGGTTTAAGTGACAAAAAGCTTGTTCCCTTTAATTAAAGGTCAAGTTCGAGTCCCGGGAACTAAAAAATAGTATTGATAGAGCCCTGTGAAGCACTGACTTCGACACGGTGTTTTCGATACGTTCTCAATACGTTCTCGATACGACCGATAATTCGTCGATACGATACAATACGTTTCCGATACGTTTCCAATACGCGTATCCGATACGTTGGAAAAAAAATTCGAAGTATCGGTGCTTCATAGATAGAGCCAACCCAATATAGGTCTAATAGTGCTCGGATTGGATGAAACTAGTTTAGATAAATAAAAAATAGTAACCAATATGCACAAAATGATTAGAAGATGAAGAGTAAATTTTGGAATTACCCATATAGATTATTCTTGAAGTAAGGAACTGTCGAAAGCAGGGTATCATCAATGTCAAAAATCCAAGCATCTCTTCCATCTTTCTTCAAATTGCAGCTGGTGCTAAGATAAACCAAGCATTCTTCTGTTGCCCTTTGTGAGTCCACTTTGTACTGTGTGGACTTAACATATTTTCCAATGTATTCAATGCATTCTTCAGGCACAACTTCAAAGTCTCTAATGTTGTGCAGCTCCACATTCATTCTCCAACTTTCACAATAGTTCTTCAAGCTGATCTTCAACCCATCATGTGTCTTCTGCTTCAAAATGTTCCAATCTGCAACTGCTAAGGGAATCACAAGGCATATGAAAACCAAACAGCAACCAAGTACTTTCCCCATTTGTTGTTTTTTTCTTGACAAAAGGGAATGAAATAGATGTGAAGAATATATGAAATAATGGAACCAACTAGTTATTTTAATGTGTGAAATGGTATGAGAATGAGACCATGTCACATGGGTCTGGTAAGTAGTGGTTGCCACAAACCTTGATCTGCAATGCAATCACATGCTGCTATGGCTGGCAAATTACTTAACAAAGAGAAATGTCAATTATAAAGGGGACGTGCCTATATGATTCCTTTATAGGCCACGAAATTTTCATTTAAGACAAAAATAATATATGCTTGCTTTCACATCTAACAAATGGGTTTATCATATTGAATAACATTTTAATATTCCATATAATGGATTCATGTTCTAAATAAATGTGTTTACTATTTCAAGTTAATGGCTGTGAACCATATTTTGATCAGGATCACAATTGCATTATTGTTTTGAATTCTAGTCATTTAAATTTATTAATCTCATGTGACGTAAGAGAAGCTCTCTTATGTCATAGAGATAGTTATGAGTGGAACCCACTCACTTAAAGAAAAAAAAAAACAACACGGAAGTCGATGTATGTGTAGGAGAGAAAAATACTCTCCTATAACATAAGATAATATTTTTCCTTTAAAGATATAACAAGTGGCAGCGACCCTGTTTGTCTTCATTAAAAGTCTCAAGTTTGAGTTTTGGGATAATAGAATCATGTCTTGCTATTTTATTTATTATTAATTTTTGAGTAAGGCATATTTTGTCATTTAAAAATTAGAAAATATCCAAGTCCGTCACTTAAATAGTTTATAATAAATCTCCTAAAAAAATAGTTTATAATAAGCTAGTTGAGCTTTGGTTATAAATGGTAGCGTCCCACACTGAGTGGGAGAGATACAATACAAGTTTAATTCTCGCTTTCCCCGACACAAGGATAATGTATTCATTTTACTTGGACCAATAATTGATACAGCGTATGCTTTTTTTTTTTTTTGAGTTACTCAATTCTAATTATCTCTTTGAGACGAGTTGACTCCCTCCGGTATCCCCACGAGCTTCGACTCTTTGAGCCGGCTATGAGACTAATCCGGAGTGCGGGGAACAGTGATGACTAAAGGTTCAGCCCCCTCCCCAAGAATGCATTCAGCGGGAATCGTGATATAGCGTATGCTTATTATGAAAGAAAAAAATTTGTACTTTTTTCTTTTCTAGTTTTATTTCTTTTACTGAGTCATCTAGTTTAATAGCTGAAATGCAAAGGCAGAGCATTTATTTTGTTTTACAAGAAGGAATGAATCAATTAAACAAGAATGAATCCTAACTATTAAAATTTTATATGTGTATCTTTCATAAACATTAAATAAGTGATCTCCTATTAAATTTGAAAATGTTTGTAAAGAGAGATACAAATTGTGTTTGATGCATATCGATAGACTATATGAACAAAAGAGTATAATATAAGTGGTTTAATTATAAAATATTTTTCTGTAATTGGTTGTTTGGGGAAATGGATTATGGATCATCTCTATTTTATCTCAACATGATTCGTTAATTATTGTGAAAAGAGAGTTAGGTTTGTGTCCCTGGGGTATAGTATTTCGATGTATAGGTGCTTAAGGAGACAGTGATATAGACTAAAATTCAAGAAGAGTTATTGTAAGCAGTCGCAAAGGAGGCTATGAATGGAGGATGGTTGTGTGAAGGCTGCTTGGCTCTAAAATTTAGCAGAGTAGCAATTCATGAAAGCGTATGATCTCGTATGTCTGTTTCAGAAGAAGAATTTATATAGGTGAAAAAATATTTCTTAATGATTAGAGTGTTAGTATATGGATGTCCTAGAGACAATCTTTTGATTAGATTAGGACATAAGTGAACTTTGTATTGTCGCAAATAAATAAAAGCATTCTTTATCATGTTTCATATTTTGTCTCGATATTACTGTTAATATTATATATGAGTAACTGGATAAACCCCTTGGAATAAAATAGGTATCTCTTGAGTATCTGTGATGAGATCACGATCATGAGGATTCAAGGATACTGGATGTTTATTCCTAATTTTATGTTCCTAGTCTAAAGACACTGAGAATGGGGATCAGTGATCTCGGGTAAGACTAGCACGACTTATCTACTTGTATTCGGATGCAAGGTAAAGACCTCATGAGCTACAGATATGGAGATGTCTTAGCTAAAGTCATGGGTGGACCTATAAAGGTATAGCTCGCACTGAACAGACCCACAAAAGAGACTCTATGAGGAAATCTCACAGAGAGTATCATTAGAGTAGTCTCTTTATATTTGGGTATGTCTTTCCTTAGACCAGAAGTTATTACCTAGACTGTGTTCTAGAAGGCATGCTTTGACTGTATACCTCGCCTGCCTGAAACATGGAGACTCATAGGTATACTGTTGGGCTTGTCCTGAAAGAGCACAGGGCTAGGGTGATAAGCTGAAAGAATTCGTCAAATCTCTGTGAGAGATTAGGTTATCTGTAAACCGGAGAAATCGGGATGACATTTACAGGGACTCGGGAATCTATGCATAGTAAAAGAGATCATAAGATGATCTGCCTTTAGAGTCAGTAAATTGAAGATTCCCTATTTCGAATAAAGCTTACCCTAAACCGCAAGGGTTGATACGTTTCCTTACCCTAGGTTTTATGGGAAGGTAACCGAGACGAAAGGAAATACATACGGCAACCAAATATGTGTAATAGGATGATCAAGTCATTAATCTAACTAGTTCTGGGGCAACAAAGCATTGCTAGTGCTCTGTGTTGTCATTAGATGGGTTGTGGGCTTATTGGGCTCAAACCCATTTATGTCAGTGGCTATGTTGGACCTAATGGGTCACACGCTAACACCTAATTGTCTAGATGAACTAGCATTAAAGGTATTGGGCCTAATAATGGTCATTAGTCCAAGAAGTAGTTTGGAAGTCCACCTTGAGGGTGGAGGGCGCATGGATCGCAGTAATGGGCTTGGATAGTCCAAGACACTACTAATTAATTTAATTGGTTAAATTAATTATCAAACATTTAAATTTTGAATTTTGAAATTTGAAATTTTGAATTTGAATTTTGAATTTTGAATTTGAATTTGAATTTTGAAATTTGAATTTTGAATTTGAATTTTGAATTTTGAATTTTGAATTTTGAATTTTGAATTTTGAATTTTGAATTCGAATTTGGAAATTTGAATTTTGAATTTTGAATTTGAAATTTGAATTTTGAATTTGAATTTTGAATTTGAATGTTTGAAAGTTTGAATTTGAATGTTTGAATATTCGAATTTAAATATTTGAATTCAAATTTGAATTGGCTATGAAAAGTTGTTTCATAATAAAAGGATAAGATAAGATCTTGTTGGAACAAATCACTAGTATCAAGAGGAGATCTTTTGGACATGATCCAAGAAGATTGGGGCGCTGATTTTGGCTGTTGGTGAGTGTCATTTAGTCATCAAAATCAGCTCCAAAAGATACGGTCTATTGGGAGAATATTTGAGTGAGTTGATTCAAGTTTGAATGCAACTACTCAAACGTATCTGAACTCCTTTTGGGACTGAATGGGGCGCACAGTATGAGTGATCATGTGATGACCATCAGGTCAGAATCTTGATAAAGATCTTATCTCATAAGGATTCAATGGAGAGGTTGTTTGGAGTTTTGAATTGCAACAACTCCTTTATCTCATCATTTGTTGTGCGCCACTTTCATGGGATTTTGAAGTGAAAAATCTGATTTAACTTATTTATTCCCTCACTCTCTTGTGCTATATATGTGTGTGTTCCTCCTTAGGGTTTTTTGAAAAAAAGACCTAGCCATTCTCTCCTCCTTCCATGCGCCACCTTGTGAGGTTTTCTCTCTGAAAACATCACTCTTCTAAACACATTTGCCTAGCCTCCTCTTTCATACATTGAGCGCATAGCAAGCCTCATTGTGGTGATCAATTGGTGGTTCTACAAGAAGGAGTTCTTGCATCTAGACGCGGGTGGTGTGGATCAACGTTAGAGGGTTTGAACCCTTCAGACCTGACCTTGATCATCCTGAAGTTTCACGAACAAGGTATAATATACGTCTTAAAGCACGTATCTTGATATGCATGTGTGTTCCGCTAGCGAAAAATTTTGTTTTTCCCTATCACATGCCTCGACCTTCAAGGTCAATTTACTTTCATAGAGATAGTGAGCAAGAAAACCAATAAAGAACTCATTGTCAATGAGACACTGCCTCACTATCATACATGTATGGTAAATTGTGCAGGGAGAAGGAAATGCTCTAAGGAGAAAAATTGATTGGGTGTTATTGTTGTACCGAGTACGGTACATCATTTACTCAAATTGGAAAATTTTACTCTCATTTAAATCCAAATCTTTTCTCTTATTTCCTAACAAATCCAAAATTTTACCTTTTTTGGTCAAGATGTATAGTACATCTGTTGTACCAGAGATTCACTCCTAAGAAGAGGTGCATGAAATCACTTGTCGGATGCTGATGGGTTGGATTCCTAATGGGCCTTGGAAGGCTGGCTTATTTTATTGGACGTGTGTCGATTGGCCAAACAATTACCTAAAGTGAAAATTTTGAATCATTAATTGATAGATCAATGTTTTAACAATTGAAATAGTTTTTTTTTATTTTACGAGTTTTATCATTAAAATTGTACCGATGGAATCTATAAGCCCATTATGTACCCTTTGAGGATAATGTTGATGAATGGATAGTACCACCAGCCAAGGTAAAGACCTGACTAGAAGGTATTGTTCCAAGTGTTTGGCAAGCTAATAACAATGGTAAATAAAGAGTAAGAATAGGACTTAATACAAATGGGCATAATAACAGTACATAAAGATATCCTCTTTCACTGTGTGCGGATGGGGTATTTATAGAGGCCTTGTGTGCTGGCCGGTTTAGGGATCCTCTTGCGGAGGTCAATGCTCCTTGGGGCTTGCTATGATGAACTGCCATAGCAGGAGTGGGCAGTGATACAGTGCCTGCTCCTGGCGATGGCAGCATGCGACAGAG